GGTGAGAATCTTTCCAATTTACTGCTAGATTAAAAAATCTTCTGAAGATTCTCAGGATCATTGCCTTGCCCATCTACATATAACTGTATGGCTTGACTTATTCATGTTTCGTAGCTCTTCTCTTTTCCCTCTCTTGGTTAGTTAGTTCTTGAGATCCTGCTTTCCTTTTACTTGTATTATACCTTTCTATTTGTATTTCTTCTTTTGAGTTCTTATACAAGGGAGACTATACGATTAAAAGTATTTTTAATTGTTCTTTTGCACAATAAGAGAAACCAACAACAGAGTGAAAAAACAACCTACAATGTGGGAAAAATTTTTGCCAGCTGTTCCTCAAGAAATTATTCTATCTAGAATATATATAGAAATAAAAATATCAGAACCCCCAAATTGAAAGACCCTATCACAAATGGGCATCTGAAATAAATGCACACTTCTCAGACAGAAAATAGTATATGAAAAAATGTTCCACATCACTGGTAATTCAATATATGTACATTGAAACAACACTGACATTTGATCTCACACCAGAACAAATGGTTATTATCAAGAAATCAACCGCCTCGCACTTCCGGCTGGTGGGGGTCCTGCCCTGGGACACAATTGGTTCTGCCCCCAGAGTGACTCAGCACAAAGAGACCATATAAAGAGGCTGAGGAAGTAGTCAATGTTCCACTTCATCCGAGGAACTTCAGTCTTCGCATTCGGCTTGGACTTCACCTGGCTTGCAGCGCAGACTCTTCGGCCTCCGGCTTGGATTCTTCACCTTCCTTCGCAGACTCTTCAGTCTTCCGTGTCAGACCCATGAGCTGACGAATAGACTTGTACGGAGCACAGCAGTGAGCTTCAGACCTTGGGACCGAACTCCTCAGTCTGGGGTGTGCAGACGCCCTCTGCACACTCCCCCATCAGACTCTGCGGCTGTCGTAAGCCAATCTTGTCATTCCTTATACATTGTATACCTTGTGTTAATATCTGTTCCTTATATTATATCTGTTCCTCTAAGTAAAACCCTGACCAATACAAGTACCATCCAGTGGTATATAGGCAAATGCTTACCTACCAATTCTATTGGAGGAGGTTGTCACTATCAAACTGTTGATTTTACTGAAATAAATGATACATAACACTTCTTTCAACATAAAAAAAAATCAACCAATATCAAATGCTGGAGGGGCTGTGGGGAAGAAAGAACCCTTCTCCACTGCCGGTGGGAGTGTAGACTGGTGCAACCAATGTGGAAATTTCTCAATAAACTAGGACTAGAGACTCTACTTGACTCAGTTATTTCCCTTCTTGGTATCTTTCTGATAATATTAAAAGCATCATGCCACAGAGACATATGCATATCCTTGTTTATAGCAACATAGTTTGTAATAGCTAAATGTTGGAAACAGACCAAATGCCCATCAACTGATGAATGAATAAAGAAGATGTGGGGCTTTTCATACAATGGAGTACTACTTGACTGATATGCTTGAGACATTCCTAGGTAAATAGATGCAGCTTGAGACCATACTCTTTAGTGAAATAAACAACACATGTGAATAATGCATTGTTTTTCTGGTGTGAGAAATCAAAAGTATAAATAAGAACCAAAATGTATAGTATGTATTGTGAAATAGGAAGAAAATATTCAAATGGGGCAGGGAACAAGCAATAGGGAGGGGGAATGGAAAGGAGTGAAAATTAAAAATAAAATGAGAAAAGGAGGAAAAAGGAAACGGAAAATGATGGAGGGATTGAAGGAAGGGTAGGTGAATGAGGAAAAAAGAAACAAGTTATAGTTTGTGCAGATACAAATTCCCTATGATGGATGTGATCATTATGTATATCTACAATGTACCAAGAAAATCTGATTGGAAAAGAAAACAGAATGTCTGACCATGTTCTCCCATCCTTATTTTGCCATCCATATGTCTTTTTTTTTTTTTTTTTTTTTTTTTTGACGGCAGGAATATATCATTTACAGGAGATCTCCCTCTGTCTACACAACGTCCCTAAAGCAACTTCAAGCCACAGTTACTTCTTGGTCCTGGCCCAAAACTGTCTGTATCGCTCGGCATCAAAGTCATCAGTGAGCTCTGGCTCCTCCTCTTTCTTGTGATGGAGCTGGGCCTCTCGTTTCCGGAGCCTGGCCCGGCGCTCCTCAGGGGACAGGGTGTCCAGGTCCAGGGGCATTGCCAACATGCGTCTTGGCTCCCGGTAGCGGATGTGAATGGTGGAACCGTCCTGCTTGACAAGAAGCACTGGGTAGAGGCGTGTATAGGCCTGGCGGTGCAGGCGAGTGAGTGCAGCCCTGCTGCTGTCTGCCCAGCTTTTGGAAGTGTGCAGGCATCGGGGTCTGGATGCAGCTGCCTTCACAATGCTCTGCGGTAGCAAGCTACGTAGGCTGCCCACAGCTGCCATTCTCTTTTCGGGCCTGATCTGTCCCTGTGTGACTGAGCAAGTTGCAAACCCACCATCCATATGTCTTCATGGATAAAATCCCTCTTCCAATTGCAGGGCGGGGGTGGTGGTGGTACTAGGAATCAAATTCCGAATCTTGCACTTACCAGGCAAGCACTGCATCATTGGGCTGAATCCCCAGCCTTTGCATTTCATTTTAAATCTCGATTATTATATTTTTAAAAATGTCACAATGATGCAGGTTGTAGGGCCACAAAAGGGATGATCCATTTTCTACCCATTGTAAAAGGTCAGCTTGATTCCCCTTAACACAAGACAGGCTTGTAAAAGAAATGCATCGCAAGTTTCCTTAATCAAAGTTTCATGTGTATTGGAAACTTTGTGAGGAAAAAATAACTTATTTTGTCATTTTTGTAGTATTACTTATAAATATAGCATTGCTATGGATGCTTATATTGTTCAATGTTTAAATTACTCTTTTTATCAGTATATGCTTGCAATTTATAATAGATGTCCTGAAAACTTCTAAATAATTTTATAACTATGCTTCCAAAAGTATGCCTACACAACTTGTTTTTTTGTTTTTGTTTTTGTTTTGTTTTTGGGTGGAACCGGGGATTGAACTCAGGCCCTTGCACTTGCCAGGAAAGCACTTATTCCACTGAGCCATCTCCCTGGCTATGTTTCTAAAAGTAATTCAGGTCAGTATTCAGATGCAAGAATAGATTAATTAAAAAAAAAGAATAGATTAATTAAATTGTACCCAAACAAGTGTAATTTGCCTCTGCAGCCCCAGCGTCTCCCCAGGTTTCTAGAGGAAGACGGAAATTCTGGATTTTCTAGAGCTTATCTTCTTCCAGCTTCTCTTTTCAACAAACTGCCTTTGCAAGGAACACTACTGCCATGTCTCAGAGAATCTGAAGGTTTCTTGTATCCAATTCCATATTTTCAGTGTCTAGTTGCTGCCCCTTCCTAGAGTCACCAGGGAAACACACCTTGTACCTGAAAATCCTAGCAGTTGGCCCTTTAAGAAAGTGTGTTATAAATCAGATTTAGGCCAAGGATGATAGTTCAAGCCTATAATCCCAGCACTCCAGGTCTCCTACTTCAGGCCCAGCCTGGACAATTTAGCAAGACTGTCTTAAAATAAGATTTCAAATTAAAAATAAAAAGTGCTTGGTTGTAGCTCAGTTACTCGGTGTGAAGGCCCTAGGTTCAATTTCTAGTACAAGAAGATAGAAGGCATGGGGGTGAAAGAGAGGGGGAGGGGAGGAGAGGAAGAGGTAAGGGGGAAGGAAGGAAGTCCTGGACAGATTTCCCTGAGGCCCAGAAATCTTTAGCTAGCTAAGGACATGGTGCCACCTAGTGCTAATCAGCCAGAACTGTGCAAGTTGGGTTAAAAACAAAAAATGCAGACCAAAACTGAAATTGTGAAGCAGACTGCTTATGTGTAAAGAACAAAGATCCTCATCACTAATGCTGCTACTCAAGGACATATATATCTAGTTATAAGATATGGCAGAAATACTTATCACTAATAATAAATAGTCAAGCTCTAAAGTTTAAGAACAACTTGTTCTCTCTGTCTCTGTCTCTGTCTGTCTGTCTCTGCCTGTCTGCCTGTCTGTCTGTCTGTCTCTCTCTGTCACACACACACACACACACACACACACACACACACACACCCCTACTATTAACCTAGTGGCCAATCTTTGGGCTTGGTCTTCAACACCTGTCAAGGATGTGAGCACTTCTCACCCCTACACTGCTCCCTCTAGTATGAGCTTCCACCTTCTCTGACTGGAATTATTCCAGGTCTCCTGACATTTGTTTCCTCCCTTGCCCTCTTTGGTCTAGTCTCAACAAGGAAGTCTGTGTCTGTTTTAGAGGAGGTCATGTCATGGTTTTTCTCCACTCAAAAATCCTCTAGAAGCACCCCATCTCCCTTTATCTTTGCCATCATCCCTGCTCCGTTCTCTGTCTTCAAATCCTACTACTTTCTGCAGCTACACAGGTGGCTGAGACAGAAGGATCAGAACAAATTCGAGGTCACTGTGGGAAGGAGACTCTTGTCTCAAATTTTAAGAGGAAGAGGCTGGAAATGTAGCTCTGTAGCAAAGAGTTTGCTTAGTACCATGAGCCTCTGGGATTTGCCATGATGACAGGTTTGTGAAAGTAGGAGTAAACAAACTTGGTGTGTCCTGCATTCGTACTCAACAGTCAACAAAAAAGAATTCTGTGATCAAATGTGTGTGGGTTTTTACCACATGCCAATCAAACAATAAATTCTGCAGTGGACATCCCTTAATTCAATTTGTGAGGAACTTGAGGTCAGACTGGAGGAATGACATGGCACGGAGGAACTTTGGAAGGCATTTCAGCTTTATTATGATAGCTGGCTGGGGGACACTGAGGTCCAACTCACCAGCCCTGTCTTGGAGTAGAACAGTTACTTATATAGGTTTTTAGGAGGAAGCACAAAAGGCAGATAACAGGATATTCTACAGTTGGTTACACGTCTTGTCATACATAGTTAAGCAAAATTTATCCTAGGTAAACTAACTGGGATTACTATTGTATAACAAGGAGGTCCAGGTTTTGGTGAGCAGGAAGAATAAGTCATTGTCTAACACTGAGCCAAGCTGTCCTTGATGTGATCTGTCTGTGAGAAACTCAAAAGCAAGCAAAACATAGCAGGATGTGCTCGTGGCTGAGCCCCGCTTCTCCTGAAGCTGGCATTGGAATGTTAAGGTCCAATAAGTAATTTCCTAACTGGGAACAAGCTGCACTTTCCAGATCCATCTTTGTACAGTGTTGGAAATGTAAGTTTTAAGCTTTCCTTTACATTTAAGATTGCCTCTACAAATTCAATTCTGACAACATTTACTCAATGATAAAATAAAAACCCACATGTCTAGAGCTAAGTCTCAAGACTGCCCTTCCCACTTTCTTTTTTAATTAATTAATTAATTTCTTTTGCCATAATTTTATTGATAAACAAATAGCAATGAGACAGTTTCAAATCTAATCGGTAGGACAGTTTCAATAATTAACACACTGCATACATTCTTCTTAGTGGTTAATTGCTGTACAAGATGCGGACCTGACATCCCATTTACAAACACCTTTAGAACAAATCATTGTATTCATTAAGAGAATGTAACTATATATCTATCCCAACCTCTCTGAGTACACAGATACAAAATGGACATTCATCTGTATACCTTTTTTTTGTTAAGTTCCGTTATTTGAATATTATAGGTGTGTAAACTCAGCAAAACATTCCAAAAGAGTCCAGCAGCCCACAATAGTACAGGGTCTTCTGCTTCACTGGCAATGTCAGAAACTGATGACCTGAGTCCCCCGTAGCTCAATATAACAGCATGGCTTTACTTCTTATATTTCGTTTTTATACTTTTCTTCTGGATGGTTAAGACCAAGGTAAAGCAGGACCTATGCAACAAGAGTTGTAGCTTTTGGGTCTGATAAGGTCTGTGAAATCCCCTCAAGATTTATCCTGAGATCCTGTACCTCAGATTGTAGAACCTTTGTCAGTGTCAGCCATGTGGATGAGTCACGGCCATTGCTTGGCCAATGTGCTCTCTGTGAAAGCCTGAGAGAATGTTTTCTCTCCATGTGACTCTCCTTAGGCACACTCTACATCATTGATCACTTTCCTCTTTGGCCCCATAATCTCCTTGATCAGAAGATTTGGGACACTACCGAGTTACATGACGTTACAGTAGAAGTTCTCATATGTCCTGAGTCTTAATTGACCTTAGAAGGCTAGGGCCAAAATGTTGACTTTCCTTGCAGCCCTCCTTTTTCTCTAATTCTGGTCTGCAAAATTAGGTTGTTAACCCTCCAGAAGACAAGCTTATTGTTATTATCAAACAACTTAGGCTGTTAAGCTTAACCTCACTATTTGTCTGCATATCAAACATCTTAGGCATAATATGGAACAGGTATTTTTCATCAAGTATTGATATGTTGAACTTTAAGCCCCTACAGAATATGATAAAAAACATTTAAAAATTAGAATATATTTTTAAAATAAGCATAAAGAATTATATACTTCTCATGTTTGCACATAAGTCCAAAAATCTCACCATATACAACCTTGAAGCGGGACAGTCCCACAATTTTCCTTTTCCTCTCTCTTGCTTTCCTTCACCACCCCCTTCTTGAACACCTACCTGAGAGACATCATAGCAGCAACTGGCATATCATGACAAGCAGCCCATATTCAGAAGACCAGAATGACAGGCTCTCCAAGCATGAAACTACAATTACAAATTATCATCTGCAGTGCAGTTGCTTAGTTCACAGATATCAGTATATATAGTTCCTTCCCACTTTCTGAGGGCCCAGTGGCTTTACCTGTGCTTTAATTAATTTATTAATTAATTTATTTATTTATTTGGCAGAACTGGGGATTGAACTCAGGCCCTTGCACTTGTCAGGGAAGCACTTATTCTACTGAGCCATCTCCCCGGCCCCTACCTGTGCTTTTAGATGTTTTCTGGTGCTTGATTTTATTTTCCTTCTCTTTCTTTTAGACTTTATAACTTTCCTTCCTTGTTTCTTCTTTAATTACCCCCCCTTTTCTCTCTTTTTTTCCCTTTTTTAAGTGTCTTGCTGTATTACCTATGCGGCCTTCACATTCTTGGACAGGATTTATCTGCATCTCCACACCTTGCCTGTGAGTATTATTTTTGAGTAGTTTCCTAGTGATTGTTATGGGGATTACAAATATCAATTTATAACAACCTGGAGAGCTGAGTTCTTGCCACTTATCCATATAATGTGACCTTGTCCCCCTGGTTCAAGTGAGTGGTCTGAGAGAGGTAGATGATGAAATTTGGACTTGGAAACAAAAGAGAGGCCAATTTCTAGGCACTACTAGGGATGATATTCCCCATCCAGTAAAATAAATGGGCAAATTCCTGCACTGAGGGGCCTGGGGTATCAAAGGCCCATGGGAGTTACAGAGAACTGTGAAACACAATTCTTATGCTCAGAGAAGTGATAAGAGAGATAAACTG